TCCTGTATATTCTAGAGTAAAACTACTTTATTCAACATACATATATTCGATGTAATTCTGTATTTTATGTATGAAGATTAAATTTCAGTTTCAGGAATTATTTATTGCTATCCTGATGTATCTGTTTCTCGAAATATATATTGGGTGTTTCATAATAAATTGGTCAATTTTTCTATTTCATATTTTAGTCTTTAAATACATTTTAAAAAAGTACAGAAAACAGGTACTAGATGCAGCGTAAAGATCTCTGCAGCTACAAAGAAAAGCTTATTTTAATTGTAGACTTGGTATTTTCAAAATAAATGGAATTCTGTGCAATCAATTTTCGACGCTGCGCAAAACGGTCTCATAGAATTTTGCTTCTTTTCAAAACACAAAGTATACAATTAAAAAATTTTTACTTTGTACACTGTCGAAATTTTTTACGCTGCATCTTGAGGTATATGCGATAAAGCCAATTAGGTGATAAAAGGATGAAATAAGAAAAAAATGATTTGCTCATTGGAATAGAAAAATGATCTTTTAGGTACAATGGAAATTATTCTCACGGAGTTTTGCTTTTTTTTTGAAAATAAAAATTACACAATCAAAATCAGTCTTGCTTTGTGAATTGTAGAGCTTTTCACGCTGTATCTTGTGGTATACTCGGTTTTTTAATAAAAATTTTTAAAGATTAAAATCTGAAATACAAAAACCGACCATTTAAGATGGGACACTCGTTTGAACAAGATTATGAAATTGATATTGATGCTATTGGAATTTTTTTGAAAATGAACAAAATAATTGTATATCATTCTCGAATAAGAACGTATTTTTTCCTATTAATAATAAACATTTGTGAACATCTAATAGTGATTGAAGACTAAAATTGAAGAAGTAAACGTACTCAATAAAAAGTTTATATACTAATTAAAGCTGGTTTAATGCACTACTAGAGGAGTTAATGCTCGAACTTTGCATGCAGTACATTCGAGAAGTGTAGTTCTGATGAAAAAAAATTTTTGCATCGGACTGAGCAAGGGGAAGAAAGTAGAGCTCATTTAACAGTTTATTGCTACCCCTACAAAACTGATCTTGCGCCGCCCATGATTGAATATATATGGATTATCAGTAGCAGGTAGTCCATTCTAGAAATAAATAATTTAAAAAGAAAAACAAAAAAAAAAAAATAATATTTTCTTATTAAAATGTTAATCTACCACATTAAATATATGTAATAAATCAGGTAATTGTCCATGAAGATCACCAATAATAAATATATGATGTAAATTAGACAAATTAATATGATTCACATTTGGTAATGTTTTAAGCATAACACGGGCTTGATGAAGAATTACATAGACATATTTTTCATGTAAAATCTATTAATACATTATTGAGTAAACTAAAGATTATATGGTATGTGTTTGAATTTATTTATTTGATACTTTTATTGGCTGTTCGAAATATCTTCTTCTAATTATGAAATAGTATAGGCTTAATTGCAATCTACTGCGGCAAAAATTGCTTTTTTTTATAAATAATACATTGTCTGAACTCATCTTAGATTGTAGCTTATTCTCTGTCGAAATTTACATTCGCTATGCTTTTCTTTTTGTATAACAATGTTTTAAAAATAGAATATTCACTAAATTCTTTTTGTTGAAATTTTCAAATCATGAAATTATATATAAACAAACTCTCAATTCAACTGTTTTAGTTCGTTGACCAAATTCTCAATGAAATAATACTACTTCAAACGCATGGTTTAGAAGTAAATTAAAAGACGCTTATTTTTCATTCCATTAATCTTAGTATTATGAATGTACAGAGAAAGTTTTTCATACATAGGTATCTTTTCAGTGTATTATTTTAAAAATAATCCATGTAAAAATTTCAATGCACAAGTTGTAACATGGTTTTTGACGCTGAGGCTAATTTAGTTCAGGTGCTGAGTATGATCATATACTAGAACTCGAAACAACAATTAATTTGATCGGAACGATTGAAAATTTTAGAAGCAAAAAGAAACCGAGTTAGTCGTGAATGATTTACTTTTCTATGGAGTTTTATATGTTTTCTTTTATTTTTATAGATGTACTTTATGTATGAAACTAGAATTCGAAAATTATAATAGCATTATGAAAGTATTGGCTTTATGTCGATTAGCTTCGGATTGAAACGAATAAATCTTGATACAAGACCTGTTGCAAAAAAAATAGTACTTCTAAATGATATTATTTCATAAATAATAGTGTAGTGTTATATCTTGAAGAAAATCTATTAAACGATTTTTGAAGTTGGTCTCATGATTTAGGTACATAACGAAGAATACAAGATTAGTTTAATAAAAAGAATTTTGGATCCATGGGTAGGGACTTTAAAAAATGGGCTTTGATACTGAAAGTTTGTGTATAAGTAGTTTACATGATATTAAAATACCTAAAAATTTTAAATACCAATGATTGACATCTGTTTTAAGTTCTCTTTATTTATCTAAAAGATCTTCTCACGTATAATGAATCATTTTATGCAATAATTAGTACTGTGATTTCTTATAAAACACTTCAAGAAAGTTTCTTTCTGTATGGTTTGATAGAAAGAAAGAGGCAATGATATTTTTTCTATAGTATTTAATTATGCTTCAACTAATATCATAATAATCAATTTTTTTAATAAGATTTGGTTTTCTATCATATGTGCTGATAAATCTAATGCCTATATTAGTTGAAATTGTTTTCAATAAATTTTGATAGAACTAAGGTAGTTGCTAAGTGACTGAAAAAAGTTTTCCTTGTAACAAAGGAGACAAAAAACAAAGGTTTTTTTTACAGAAATAATCAGAAAATTTACTCAAAACTTCGACATCTATTTCCATAGACACTTGCCAAACACGAAAATCACTTGTAAGTGTGTCATGGGTCATTTTAGTTTTTAAAGATGTCGAATCAAACTTTCAAAATATGAACAAAGCAACTCTCTTTCTTCTTTCTATTAAAAGTTATTGAAAAAAAATTCAACTAACTATAGACATTAGTATGATCAGCACATATATGATAGAATAACAAATCTTATAGGAAAATTTTTTATTATGATATTAGTTGAAGTATAGTCAAATTACCATAGAAAATAGACCATTGTTTTTTTTTCTCCAAATATGTTCTCTTATTTGAGGAAAAAATATTTTCCTATAGAATACTAATAGTAATATCATCAACTCAGAGAAACCAAAGCGCTTATTCAGAACGTATAATGTAACGCAAGATTTTCCATCTGGCATAATAATTAACATAAAAAGAACAACTGGTGATGTTAGGTATATCTACTGTGTTATGTTGACATTACTTCGCAAAGTAATTGTCTTTTCCTAGATTTAATACTATTAACTAATCATATTATTCAGTCTGGATATCTAAATCTGTCAATACACACAGTATTTTTTTTACCTATAGGCTTCAAATCTTATATAAATAACTTTAAAAGTATTTTATCGTGTTTTATACTCTATGCATTCGCCGTTTGTATTAAATACTTTTGTCTTGCTTACTTCTCCTTTTTGAAAAGCTTCAATTAAATCAACAAAAACACTTCTCTTAATTGGACTTTCGATACCTAGAAAAAATAAATGAAAATTATGATTCCATTAATTGTAAACAAAACATTCGTTTACGTGGTCCTCGATAATTAGCTTCAACTTAAATATCATCTGGATTTGTTAATCTTAGAAGTTCTTTTTCTTGTACATAAAAATAAATTGAATCTATTTATTGTATATTTTGTTTCAAATAATGTATTACCAAGAGGTAATCCAGGTTTTTGAAGTAATTTTGTAACAGATGGTGAAAGTATATCGGATACTTTCATTAATTTTTCAAACATATCACTAAGCTATGAGATATAAAAAGGAATTCGTATAATAATGTAATTATTAAATATATATATATATCTTTTTTGTTACTTTTGTTTCAGTTTGTTCATTAGAATACTCAAGTTTTTCATGTATTTTCCATGTTACTTCATTTTTTAATCTCAATCGAGCTAGATGATTACGAAATGCACCTTGAATTTTTGTTGCAGCACTACCAACTAAAATAAAATTATTTTTATTTGAATTTTTTCTGCATTAAATATTTCTGATCTTTGTTTCTTATTTTAATAGAAAACTATACAAAATAAATATTCATACATGATGATGACGACGATGATGATTGCTGATACATTTTCAAATAAATCTAGTCAATCTTATAGGAATGCCATTCAAAGTAGAATCTGAAAAAAAAGAATTAAAAATTAATTCTGATAGTTTTATCTTTCCAAAAAGATCAATTGATTTCTAAACGATGTAATATAGTTCTATTCTCTGAATTGTCAACCGATAGAATAATAAGAACAATCATCACTCCATAGTCAAATATCGATAGATTTTGGTACATTCCATAACGATAAACATATGTTGATGACATTTACACAGGAAGTCACAAGAGTTTTCTCCTATACCAATTTTTGGTTTTTGTTACTGTGTATCTTATATTTATTACCCGACTACAAATAACAAGGAAGGCCGGAACGCACTGTGTATTTTGACGTATTGACTTTAAACATCCAATTCTATTTCAACTATCAAAAATGTATTGGAAAAAAAACAGTGACCTTTTCTTTTACAATATCAGAATGCTGTAACATTTTTAATTTTGCATACATCTCGGTTCAGATAAATGATAAAATCTTGACCTTTTTTTCTAAAAGATGTGTGGGTGTTAACTTAGAGAATATATACACCTGCCTACACCTACACCTTGAGATCTCTATTGAATCTAGAAAAAGAGATTTGCTTCACTTTTCAATGAGAGTCATTTCTAATGCTCAGTCAACATTAGGTGAAATTAAGTGCACAAGTAAAGTTTTATTTGTTTTTTCGACTATTTTACCACATATTCTAACTATTGTTCTAACTGATACTTTGAGAAAATGTTCATAAAAAAGATATATTACATAATGCATTTGGTTTCATCAATTTTTTGGCATACACTAAAGAAAACAAATTATTCTAATTCAAGGAGAAATATGTACTGAAACTATTGAAATTATTTCATCTGTTAGGCAATCGACTTCTTAGGGCGTTGGTGTGCGTGGGATGTGGATGTGGGTTTGGGTGTTGGCGCGGGTGGGTGTGGGTTTGAGTGTTGGTGTGGGTGGGTGTGAATAGGGCTGTGGGGTGTGGGTGAGAGTGGATAGGGCTGTGGGGCGTGGGTGGGTGTGGATGTAGTTGAGGGGAAGAGTTACACCCACACTCCACACCCATACCCACACCCACACCCCACCCTCATGTCAACAGAACAACGGTCGCATCATAACTATTAATTAGAAAGTATATAATGTACAAAATTCTTTTGTAATGATTGTTTTGTGTAGCTTTTTCATAGGGAAAAAAGCAATGAGACATAATCAACGAACTGAACATTGTCAGCATTAACATAGGAATTCTCATTCAGAACATGACTGTGTTCAATAAAATAACGCCAGTTTTGAGAAGGAGACCACCAAAATGAATCATTTTAAGTTTATTTTATAAAATAATTTTATTACTGAAATTTAACGATGTAATGTTTCTTTCTACTTGTTGATTTCTGATCGCCCTTGCATCACATCAATCAAACTGCGCAAAAATGATGTCGAAAGCAATGTTAACATGTTTGACGAACGAAAAATATCGATGCGGAGAAACACAAAGGAAGGAGTGATTGATTGTGATCGTAACACGTGCTTTTTAAAGTTTTGATTTTCTGTAAGAAACACAAAAATGTAAGTTTGTTTTCAATGTAAATCTTATTCTTGTTTGGTTGACAAAATCATTTAAGACTTAATATGAATTTCTGAAACTGTTGCATACGTGTGACAGAGCTTCTTAATGATCCTGATAGCCATCTGATGACGAATCCTTCAAATCAATAAAGAGCTCGATATTATGTTGCAATATTTTACAGACTAACAGACCTGATAGTTATATAATGAGACACGCAAAACTCTCCACCAACTTTTATTTTTGACTTTTCATGAGCAAGAATTCAAGCCTAGTTAAACGAAGTTCCAGTGATTTCACTATTTCTCACCTAATGGCACTGGACCGAGATGGCAGAAGCTTTTAAAACAAAGTATATTCGTGAATTTTTCTGTTGATTCAGATTATGAAGCTATGGTGATTTGTTCTTTATTTTTAGGGCCATAATAAACACCAAGAAAAGGCTTTTTCTTTTAAAGAGAAAATAAAAATTTAAAAATTCGCTGCTGAGCAAGTAGAGGATATCTCGTACATCTCTGATATGTAGAGTTCTTTCTATATTATCGCGGTGTAAGATGCAATGCATGCGTATCTGTATTAGCAAGTGCATGTTCAAAATTGAGTTCCATTTTAGATCACTCGTCCGAGCAAATAACACAGTGAAAAAGAAGAATATGACCAACAATACCAATACATTGATAACGGAATCCATTGATTCATGGACGCTGAAACATCTAAAAGATGAAATGAAAGCCACAGATGAAGAGTTAGTATATTTTGTTAGATTACAGCAACTTCGAAATCAGAAACAGACATCAACATTAGACATCGATTGGGATAATCCATCAGTGGTGATTGACGGCTTTCTCTATCATGGTAATATATGCCATGCAAGTGACATGAACTTGCTTATGAATCTCGGCATTCGACATATCGTTAACACCTGTGATTCACCGTTAGAAACAGAAATCACAAAGAATTTCAATGTGTTATGGATTAGTATAGACGATGATCTTCATATCAATATCAGTCAATATTTTCAACAAACGAATGACTTCTTACTTTTGTGTAAGAAGAAGCAGGAGAAAGTGTTGGTTCATTGTATGATGGGTATTTCTCGATCATCCTCCATTGTGCTCGCCTATCTAATGAAGTAATATCTATTTCTGTATTCAAAATCGACCAAATATTTCATTATAGATATCATCATGATACTTTGATGAAAGCCTACGATTATTTGCTGGATCGGCGTCCTGTATCTTCACCAAATTCTGCTTTTCTTTTACAATTGATTCGATACGAGAAGGTGTTGCGCAACAGTGGTGCAATTGATGAACAACGAAATGATGATGACAAACAGAACCCGATCGAAACAATGAATATACCGAGTAATCCCAGCATTGAAAAGCCGTTGGTCTAAAAAGCAAAAGGAAACTTTAGAAAGATTTCTATCGTCTTTGTGTGAATTTCATATACTCATAGAGCTCTTATCCTGTATCGCAAGCCTATTTTTCTGCCTTCTTTGATTTAGTCTATCTTATTCAATAAACTCGAGTCTATCATCATGATTTGAACTTTCAATTTCACCAGTAGCAAATGATGCACTTCAAACGATTTCTTCTTCAATATCACAAAACTTGAGTACACTTACTTTACTCTATTATAGGGATTTACTAAACCTTGATGGTGTTTCACAGGTATTGCATATGGAACGTCTAAAAGTGACTCTAGAATCTATCCCAATATTATTAGAAGCATTCAAAATAATGCCAAACCTTGAAGAATCATATATATCAATGTCTTATTTCAATGATTTAAAAGGTTTAAAAATCTTAGAACCTCCAAACACTATACAGAAGCTAGAATTGGAGTTTGAAGAAGGTAGTGATCTTCGATTCCTTCGGAAACAGTTGGAACTGGTAATAATGTTTTTACACATGCTCAAAACTAGTCAACTGCGATCATTGATTTTAGTTGGCATCTATGCTTTAGAAAGATATGGGTATGGATGTGGGTGTGGGTGTAGGTGTAGGTGAACATGTCTTAATTCACACCCACACCCACACCCACCCTCTTCGAAGTTATTGTTTTGCATTGCTGTGAGATCTTGAAGGTCGAGTGTCTTGTCAAGCTTCATGCATGCCTAGAGTTACATCCACATCCACAGCTTTTAATACAAGTATGCTCGAATCAAACAATCCAACGTGAATAGAATTATAAGTCTTATAACACCGTCAAATTTTCATTTTAGATTAGCATTGGCAAGCAAATCAACTATGGTGATCATCACCGATGGAGCTGATACTGTGCTCCTAAGTCGAATCCAATGAGACTAGAAAGCGACGAAAATCGTACAATATCTTATAATGAAACTTCATCAACTGCTATTCTCTGGTTGATCTCATAGTTTGTTCATGGCTGCGATTCATAGAATAGAGAAAAACTCCTAAACAATCAACCATACTGCTGCTTTACTTCAGAGAAATGGGCATAGAAATTTTCTCAAAAATGAAAATTATTGTTTTCTAAAAAAAGTTGCTTTTCGTATCATAATAAACGGTCATTTTCACGAGCTGATTTATTAGCCACTCATCTTATGTCTGGCTGCTTCCCATATGAAAAAAAATAAGGGGAATAATTAGATTATAATCGATTATAATCAAAAATAATCAAAAAAACCAAATTTTCATAGATTATTTCTATTATTTTTGATTATAATAGATTAAAAATTGTGAAAAATATCGATTTGAATCGATTTTGCGTCACAGTAAATCGCAAAATCTTTAATCGATTTCCTTCGATTTTCATCGATTATAATCAATTATTTTCTTGAACTTTTAATCGATTATAACCGAAAATAACAGGAACAATCGATGAGAAATTGTTTTTTTTCGATTGTTTTTGATTATAATCGATTTTAATCTGATTATTCCCCTTATTTTTTTCACATGGGACTGAGGCACATCTTTTTGACATTTTCTTAATCAATGTTGTCTGAAGATTTGAGCGCAAGCGGATCATAATGGGTAGAAATTTATAATAAGAACACTGTTAGAAATAGTCATCATTTTTGCATCATCTACTTTTTTCTATTATTATGGCGGCATCATTATATATCTATATTGTTATGTTTTCTTTCTTTTTATTTAAATAACACATTGTATAAAAGTAATGAGGTACTACTTATTTCTTACTAGTAACTGTTTAGTGGATGCATGTATAGATGCCAACGTTTTTCTTCTATGCACCGAAGTATTCGCACCTATATCTCGGATGTTTAATCAGTGACAAAATACGCCTAGCTCAGAAAAGGTTTTTTGAAACATCAGCTAGTTTCCTTTAAAAATATAGTTTAGGCGTCCACTTTATTATTTCAAACTGATAAATGTCATAGAAAAGTGCTCTCTTGATTGACCAATGATACATTGTTTTGTGTTCAAT